GTCTACTTCTCTTCAAGGTGCCAAGCAGAGCACCACAAACTTCCCATTCGTTCCATCGCTCGGCCATTCTCGACCGTATTTCAACCTACTCGCACTTTGACTGCACGATACTGAGACGATCCGTCTGTCAAAGAGTAACCAATCACCAACCGTTTCCGATACCCGACCGCCGTTCTTTCTTTGCTTCTACCTCGTGGCAGCGTCGCCCAAAATCTGACGCACGAGTCAATCGCCCTTTCGTCTCCGAGACACTTCAGACTTGGCGCCGCCACGAATGCCCAACTCGCCCTGATACTTTCAGTGCCACCAAAACAAAAAGAAGGAGACCAACGCCTTGCACAATTGGGGACTGGAACCCTTGAGGGATCCCGTCATCGTTTCTCGACCTTCGACAAGTCCTCTTTTGTTTTTTTTCTTTCTTGTTTTCATGTTCCCGTTCTGGGCTTGAACCAATGACGACGCCCCCGTCTGGGTCCAAACGCTCGCTTCAGTTTTAGCATCTTCATCTGCGACAACAGGCATCCGCCCCCAAAGGAGATTCAGGTCACCCCCAAAACACTTCCGCCAACCACCATCCTTTTGTCCAATCTAATCCAATATCTCTGGCCGACTGGGGACTTTCAGAGGAGCACTGGAGACCTGCCACAACACCACAATACTACCCAGCGTGCCAGCCTACCGCACCACCCGGATCGGATACCGCTCCCTTGCTTTCTCCTCACTTTGCCGACCACGGCGAAAGACGACGACAATCTACTACATCTGCAATTAATCCGTCTGTACCTGCCTGAGCGCCTTGTCGCCGGCTCTCTGCATCTGTTGTTTCGCAACTCCCGGCCTGCTACCTCCCAGCTCAAACGTCGCCCATTGACTCAGCCGTTGGTCGATCTCTGACGTCCAACTTCACCCCTTACATCCAGCCCCCAGTTTGCATGCGCATGCGCATGAACTGTACTCAGGGTGTCACCTCGTCTCCTACGCCCTGTGACGCTGGAAACCTGCCATTCCTTGCTTGACTCGTCCCGATAGTCACCCTTTTTTCTGCACCACATTCGCACCGACCGTTCTTCATCCCGCCATATCCCGGCTACCAGCAGCGATCAACCACTGGAACCAGCCCCGCCCGACCAATACCCGTCGCGACTTGCTGAGACTATTCAAAGAGGGTTGCTGCCAAACGCAAGGTTTATGCATGTGCCGCAATGCTATCGTCAGGAACGCTTTTGACTGCCCTACCACAATCAACTTGCAAAACCATTACAGATACTTGACTTTGCTATCGTAACACCAGTTACAATCAACTACGTCTTTGCCGACAAAGAGACCCGCAAAGGAACACCGTCACTTGCAGTCTCAACGCGTTCTCTGCGAATCCAATTGCTCGAGTAAGACTTGCTGCTGCCATATAACGGCCCGGGGAGTCAGCCACGATGACCCTCATGGCCATGGCAGCGGACTCTGGCCATCCCGACGCCCAGATCACCCCCGGAGCCATGGCGGATCAGGACCCTACCGTCCAGCGCCAGAATAGCATGAAGCATCGCCAATTCGGTATTTATGCTTCAAGGCGGACCCATCCGAAACCCATCTCAACTTCTGACGTTCCAGAGCGTCCCAACTCCGACTTCCCAGCAGCCTACCCACCACATGCACATCCCTTGCCCACGTCCCCTCCTCGCTGGGACTCGCTCGCCAATAACTCGAGCAATTTTGGGATGCAACAAAACTCGACGAAACCCCAGTCGCAGCCTCAATCCCCTCGACGTCCTACCTATGATTCCGCCCAGCACTACCCCTCCTCCCCTACGTTCCCCTCGCTGGCACCGAGGCCGGGTCATGACCTTGACGACGACTTGAGCGCCGACGAATGGACAAGCAGAGCCGCTCGCTCGATCAGATCCCCGATCCCGTACGACGAAGACGACCGTTCCTCGATCGACACCATGCAGGTCGACAACTTCTCTCGCCCGAGAAGGCCGAGCATCAAGCAACCGATACAAGACTCATACCGACCTCGGGCCACCTACTCTCCTTCAGAGCCGCGTTCTGACCCCAATCCGCACCATCAAGCATGGCCGCGGCCACGGGGTCAGTCCGGATCATCTGCAAGGTCGGCCTCGACGTTTGCCTCGATTCCAGCATCGGGAGGTGACCTCTATGAACCTCGCGCCCCCTCTCGTCTACGAAGTGCCCCGCCTCCGTCAGGCCTCACCCGTCCTCCAATGGCCTACGGTCGTGTCGACAGCTCGAGCTCTGGCCTATCTACATATGCCAGGGAGGCACCATGGATGAGTGGTGAAGACGAGATGAGATCGAGTTACAGATCTCAGATGACTGCGTCCAGTGCACAGGGAACGTACGTGACGGAAAGAAGCAGTGTTCTCACCAAGAATAGCTCGATTCCATCGCTGTACGCTAACGGGGAGGAACTTAGTGTCGACGACGTTATGGGGATGTACGAAAAGGGCTTCCGAGATGACTCGAGCCCCGAAGACCACGACGACGACGACGTGCGTCCCGTTCCGGCGGCGGAGATCAACAGGCGGAACACGAGAATGTTGGAGGCTCTGAGTCAACCATTGACCGCACCCGCCGCCACCTCATTGACTGTCCCGGCTTCGGACACAATTGTTCGCGAATCGACCGAGATGTTCAGGGTATCCGAATACCCAGCATCTTTGCCAAAGGAGCTCGGCTTGACGGACTATGATCGAAACGACGATAACAAAGATACTAATGAGAAGCGAGACTCTGCGAAGTCTCTCCAGGCCGACACACCAGCTACGCCACCGCAGCTGAACAGCCCATCAACCTCTTCTGGGCGAACGGCCGTAGATCTCGAGCCGGTCGAGATCGAGGACCCAGGCGCACGAGACCGATATGGCTTCAAGAAGGCCAACCAACACATCACCAGGAAACAGTATGATGCCTGGGACAAGGGTTACTCTGACTACCTCGACCGACGGCGCAAGAAATGGACTACGTTCATGAAGGAAAGTGGACTGATGACGAACCAACCTGAACGATTCCCTCCCCATAGTGCGAAGGCGAAACGTTTTGTGCGGAAAGGCATTCCGCCGGAGTGGAGAGGTGCTGCCTGGTTTTACTACGCAGGAGGCCCCGCCATTTTGGCAAAACATTCAGGTCTATACGATACTCTCCTGCAGAAGAAGGCTAAAGACATCGATGTCGAGGCTATTGAGCGAGATCTTCACCGGACATTCCCGGACAACGTCAAGTTCAAGCCTGCAAGCATGGCGTCGAAGCCAAACACGGAACCAACTCGGGACATTCAGTCAACGGACGACTCCGAGAGCGATGCCAAGAATGAGCCTGTGATTATCACTTCCCTGAGACGGGTCCTGCACGCATTTGCTATTTACAACCCACGCATCGGATACTGCCAAAGTCTCAACTTCCTCGCTGGCCTGCTCCTTCTGTTCATGGACTCGGAAGAAAAGGCCTTCTGGCTGTTGAATGTCATCACTCGCCTATACTTACCCGGCACCCACGAGATGAGCCTCGAAGGCTCCAAGGTGGACCTTGGTGTCTTGATGAATGCCATTAGGGAGTCCATGCCTGCTGTCTGGGCCAAGATTGGCGACGATATGGAAGGGGATCCGAACGCAGCGAGGCCGGCAAAGCCAGTGAAAAAGCCGAGGGTCAGACGAAAGAACCAACCCAGCATCTCGTCCAACCGTCTCCCCCCCATCACACTTTGCATGACGGCGTGGTTTATGAGCTGTTTCATTGGTACCCTGCCTATTGAGAGCACATTGCGTGTATGGGACGTCATCTTTTACGAAGGCTCCAAGACTCTTTTCCGCATCGCCTTGGCTATCTTCAAGCTTGGAGAAAACGAGGTTCGATCTGTCGCGGATCCCATGGAGATGTTTTCCGTGATCCAGGCCATGCCTCGCAAGCTGCTGGACGCCAATGCACTAATGGAGGCTTGTTTCAAGCGCCGCAACGGTTTTGGGCACATCAGCCAAGATACAATCGATACGCAGCGGGAAGAAAGGCGCGTAAAAGTCCAGACGGAGCATCAAAGAGCCGCCACGTACGCAGGCGCTGTGGACAGCGCCAACGCTACGGAAGCCGAAGGCGAGGTCCGTAGGAAAGGCACCATTTTTGGACGTAGGAGGCTGGGCAGATCAGCAGAGGTATCGTGAGCCCGCCACAGAGGAGGAACAAAAGTTGCATGCATGCATTAAGCCACGGCGTTTGAGGGAATATTTGCATTTCGAGGGTAATGACTACATGGCATGCGGCACCATTGGGAAGCGAAAACGGATATCATTCTAGAAGAGGGCGGCGCGGTTACGCCCCTAGCATATTGGATTTTTGGTTCGGCATAGAACATATGTGGAGGAAGTGCCCGAACGGGTGAAGAACAGTCTCACCAAGTTGTAGATATGATGTCTGTTAGCATCACACAATGCTCAAGCCTTTTCTTTGTGCCCCTTGATTCCTGCGAGTCTTCATGATTGGTGCTACTCGTTTCTCTACAAAGCTGTTATGAGCACCGCTTTGAGTGTTCAGATGATCACAATGCCATTATGCCAATTCCAGGAGGTAATGATGAGTGATTTGATTCAGCGTCCTGTAACAATCTAATATGAACGCCGTCCTAGATAAAGTGCACAATATGGGACAGTCCAGACTACCGATCCACGCAATGGACCGGCTGTTGGCTGCCAAAGCTCTGCTATTGCCCTCTGAAAGTCTAGAGGCTATTCCAAATCCATGAGAAAAGCATGGAACAACTTGAAATCCCATCTCCCCAACGCCGGTAATGCTCACTGTCTGGACCGACCAACGCCGCCGTTTTTCATATTCTTTGCTTGAATCACTCGAACAAAATGATTGGGATCCCCAGGAACTTCGATATTCTCTGTAGAGCTCTTGTAGTGTTCTGGTCGTGCTTACGTCCTCTTCTGCCCCGCCGTGGCTGAGAAGACACTACGCACATCGTGCTATACCTGGCCATGATGCTCGCTTCATTTGGCAGGCGCTTCAGAGGCGGCAAAGCTAGCCGGGCCCTTTGCGTAGCGCGTGACGTACTGCTTTGCATTCTTCTCAAACTCGGGGCGGTTATTCTTGAACTCGTCGGCGATGCGGGCCTCGAGGGGGTCGTCGGGCAGGGGTTCAACGAGGAGGGAGCGGACGGCCTCGAGGACGGCGGCGAGCTTGGTGGCGGGCTTCCAGTTTTCGGATTTGAGCATGCCGAGGCAGATGTTGCCGTTGGCGTCGTTTGTGATGTTGGGATGGTAGATGCGGGTGGCGAACTTGACGACGGGGGCCTTGAAGGGGTAGTCCTTAGGGAGGTCGACGAGGACGGCAAAGGTGCCGCCTGCGTAGGGGGTGTTTTCGGGGCCGGTGAGGGAGACGTGCCAGGCGTGGAGGTCGGAGTCGCGGGCGAGGGTGATTGTCATGCCCGTGGGAGGGGTCGTGGTGACTTCGGTTAGTTCCTGCGCGTGTGGTTTCGGGGGTTAGTCAAGGATGGTGGTGGTTTGTAGGGGAGGATTTGGGGGTTGCGGGAGGGAGTTTGGCATACCTTGGCGATGCGCTTGCTCGACATGATGGGCGATGTTGCGTGTTGGTTGTGTATTCTGGAGTGTTGATGCTGGGACTGAGTTTGGGTAGGTGATCGGTGAGCTTTGCCGAGTGGGAACCGGGAACCCTCAAGGTTGTAAGCTCTCGAAAAATAGCTGGATGGTGGGGCTTTGGAGGGTGGAAGAGCTGTCGACTGATGATGTTTGGGAGGAGAACTATCCTGTTAGATTTTCAGGCAGTTCCGCACGTCGGATACTGGTAGCAGAAATGGCAGACAGAGTGTCGAGGTTGGTGATGATGTTGGCGACGATGTCGTTTCCAGATTGGCAGTGGTGTTCTGCTTCGGGGTGGAAAAGTACGTACCTAGTCAGCTTGGTGTCTCGGCCGATGGCGGGGTAGCTGCCTCAGAGGCGTGGTGGGGTGAGGTCAGAGGCAGCCAGGCCGGAGCGTCGCAGTGCCAAGGGCGGTTCTTCTTACCTTCCTTACCTTACACTCATTATGAGCCCAGCCCAAGGTAAGGTAGTGACGCAGCGGGGTAAAGACTCACACGGCGCCACTATTCAACTGAGGCATCAGGGAATCGAGATTCATACAGGTACCGGAGACTTGAGAAAAGCAGAGCCTATCCATCAATGGCCAACGATCCTTCATACTCCTGTTCTTCAGCCTGCTTTATGGGCTTACTATTCAAGTGGTTGTCTAATGGGCCAATCTCAGTGATATAGAGACAAAATACTTACTAACAATATTGTGACAAGCAATTGACTTGTGCGAGCAGACAGCACTCTCAGCCATGAGATGCCTCGAGTTCAACCCTTTTTGTGTTCATTCCATTACTGAAATCGATTATCTAGTTCATCTTTCATCTCATCGGGGTGTCAAGATCTCGCTTCAAGTGAATTACAGCTTTTTGTACCTCTAGATTCAGAGTTGCACACATGGACTACTTGCATTAAGATGGAATATCGTAGTGACGATGATACTCTCTGGACTGGTGACCCTTTTATACCACGCTTTATTATACACGCAACAGGTCCTTTCCAGCCTCTAATGCAATGGCTTTTCAACCTCTGAGGACCAGCGAAGGTTGTCACTGCAGCAATACCAGAAGCAGACGCTGAGACTGAGTCGGAGCTTGGGCCTTTCCTCTAACACTGGTCAACAAATCCCACTCAGATGGTAAACAAAGACGAAGCGAGATGTTGGTGTTACCTAGAGTTAATGTAGAAGGCCTGTCGACTTTCTAAAGATCGTTCGCCTTCTCACTCTACGGAGGATGCCTATACCTCTACTTATGGCTATCACCTTTTCCTCCCACGTTACCTCTTGGCAGCAGCTGCCTGTGTTCCTCATCCATATTGAGGGGACTGAGCACGCGAGCCCACTACTGTGTGGGTCGCGCGGCTTGCTTGCGAGGCACCGACGCGGCCGAGGACCAAGGGACAAAACGAGCCGGGCACGTTATGCATATCCTGAAGGGGGAAATTGCTTACCATCTCAGATCTTTGCATCGGGACGGATGTATGGGGAGTTGAGATGAAGGAAACTTCCGTCAGTCGACGCTCAATGATGCCGTAGATAGAACTTTACTATCTTACAAGTGTCACGGACGTTTTCTATTCATCGTTCTCTCAACTAGGTCATCCGGTTGAGAACACCATTGCCATTCCATCTGTACAAGTAAAGGACATGGCAAACCTTGGGCATGTGACTTTCTGACATGTTTCCCCTATTCTAGTTAACCAGCCATGCTGTGCATGCTGACCAGACGGTCGGAGAAGGACCAAGGAAAACGCCGCCAGCTTCTGCCTGCAATGCAAGATGCAGTAGCGGATGATCTCTTGGCTAGGGTACCTTGGGTCCGCACCTTGGGCGTTGCCCAGGCCCTAGGCTGCTTAGCAATGGCGTCTCCCGGCGTTGATTCGAGTTGAGTCTCGGAGACTTTGAATCATCACTTCCCGCGCGCGAGTGCCAGAGGGATCAGTCCAGACTAGCTCATATGCATCGTCAAGGCTTCCCGGCTGCTTCTCACTGTGCCTATGTCCAGCTTTCACTGACCGGAAAAAAATTATTCACCGTACGACATAGGCAAGTTCATTCTCGTGTGAGGATGCGAAAATTATTCAACAAACAGTATAATGAAAGTGGCTGATGAGGACCGGAGCGGAGGGAGTAAAGGCACGCGCCCCCGATGTAACTCGGGGATTGCTAGCAGCCGAACGACCCGATAACCCCGGGGCCATCACCCACTGACCGCAGTGTTGGATTAGTGACAATCAATGAGCTATCCAACTATCTATCCGTGGATATCTTGGGGCCGATGGATCAAGGACACACCAAAGTGCGAATGCGGATGCGGAAGCGGCAGGCTCAGCCACCACTCAAAGGCACGGAATACGACGCTACTTCTGCACAGGTCGTAACTTTCTTCTTCTGCTCACCCTCTCAAGCGAGTCCAGTCTCTCTTCTGGTTCTCACTAGCGGGTCTTCCCTGGTAAAGTGGCCCTGAAGCTGTGGAGGAAAGCTGTGTGATTCATCACTCAACCCTCTTGTGAAGGAGCCCTACCTATCTCACCAATGGGGGGGATCAGAAGAATTGGCCGCTTTTCCCAGGCCCGATGCTTGAAAGACCGGCCAATTTCTCCGTCCCTGCTTGCTCACCTAGAGCTTTTTCCAAAGAGCTCACCACAACTTCCGTATGGGTACGTTCGTGAATTGGAGCTGCGCCTCTCTTTAAGAGAATAAATACTCCGGCCGATGGAGCCGGATCTGCCTACAGCAACGCCTTACAGGTTCTCTCTAGAGTCGTCTCTGTACCCATAGACTCAATGTATACACAAACCAACATACATCCACACAATGCTCACGAGCACCGGCACCATCCTATCCCATCCTATCCAGCAACACCCCCGTCCCAATTCTCGACCGGTGGACTCGCCGGCGCATGAACGAATAACCCTTAGCTCCAGCTCTAGGAACCCATCCGAGCCCATTCTCTCAACCTCCCTCCCCCGCGCCCCGCGCCACCTGGATCAAAGGTACAACTGCTTTAAGGCCCGGTCACCCCTCTCCGACCTCACCTCTTCATGCCCTGGAGCCGCGGATACGTGTATTTGGCAGTTCTTCGTAAATTGTACGGTAACGCGCAACGCTCACCGCATATACTACACCCACTTTGTCAAAGCACCCCTGGCCCATCTCACTCTTGCCTGTCAATGACGGTCGTTGCGAACTCTTGGCCCAACTGACGCCGCTTCTGTATTACTGAAGGTAATGACCTTTGCGTACTGTTCACCGGTTCAGTACGTGCACCCCTGACCTGTTCAACAACTGAGATGCGCTCTCACTCGCCGCTCACCTAAGCCTTTTTCATGCATGTACTCGACCATGCCTTGCCGTGGCTTGGCTTATTTGTTCCCTTTTCTTACCTCATGCTGTTGTTGTTAAGCCAGCCTTTCTAACTTTCTCACCTTATCGTCAGCAGTCACGTCAACGTCGTCACCAGCAAGAGCTCGTCCTCCAGCCTTGCCTTTACCCCATGATACCGAGGACATCCGGACATCTCTTCTGATCCTAAGAGCTCTCGTCTTCCACAAGCAAGAGATCCACCAGCAGCACAAGCTCACCGAGTGACTGAGCACGCGCTCTCGACCGCTTTCGGCTCTCACTTCTCCATCTCAGTTTTTAGCTTCCCACGTCTTTGTCTCCATCTCTATCCTCGCCGAACAGCGCCATTTATCGAGCACCCTTGCGTCCGTTTTTTATTCCCAGCCAGCTCCGGGTTGCCACCAAAAAAAAAAATAGGGACGAAATCGAAGCTTCCACCAGAGAGCTCCAGACTGGTACACTCGCACTCACAGACACCCACAAGCACACAAAACAAAGCCAACTCACCCACTCACTCACACGAGGCGGCCAAACCAGGCAAAAGACGTCATCCCCTTCGCCAATCGGCATTCCAGATTCGGACTCTGTCGACCCGTGTTTGTTTCAGCGCCCAAAGTCCGCCGCTGGGGATCCACGGCCCTTTTTGCCTGCCGCGAGCTTCTCTCACTCTCACTCTCACACTCTGTCAGCGACTCGCCGGAGCAGTTCCGGTTTCTAGTCATCCCCGTCGACTTCCCGAGGTCCCGACTCAGTGACAACCCAAGCAGCCCGTCTCGTGAATATTTGTTCTTCTTGTAGTTGGGCCACGTTGCATTCTGCCCGTAGGAAATACACACGCACTCACTCTTGGCCCTTCTCATCACGCTTTCAGTATGAGTAGACTGGGCTCGTGGTTCCGCTCGGCGGGCAAGGTAAGCAGCAATGCGAGCCCGGCCGCGTCGTCAGTCAACCTCTCCTCCAAGGAGCTTTCCGCCAAGGAAATGGCCGATATCGAAGAGGCTATGGTAGCCGCCGCCTTCATCATGAACGACGACATTGACGGCGCCGAGGAACGTCTGCGCAAGGGCGACTCGGCCTTCCACCAGCTGGGCCTGGCCATGACGACGTTCCTCCGCTCCGTGCTCGGGTTCGAAAAGGAGGTCATGAACGAGGCCTCAAAACGGCTGGCCGACACGGAAGCTAAAGCATGGGCGGATTACAAAAAGGCAGAACGGGACGCCACGAGCAGTCGGATCTACGCGCCGGGCACCGAGTTCCTGCTCATCCATGCCGAGTCGCAGCTCATGGCGGCCGTCGTGGCCGTGTTGCACGAGAGTCTGACGGAAGCTCTGAAGGGGTTCTATAAGCTCCGCAAGGCGTTTGTCACCCTTGACAGCATCATGATGCAGGAGGCCAAGGCGCTGGAAAAGGACAAGAACAAGGCTGACCCGCCGCCGCTGCGGCAACGGATGAGCGAGGAGAAGATGCCCGGTAGCTTTGACGACGAGGAGTTTGCCGACCTGGAGCGCAAGTCCGATAGCGACATTGAGTTTGTAGACGCCAACGAGGTCTCCAAATCGGGAGCGGTCACCCCGGCGGAGAAGAAGGTGAACGGCGCAGCGACGTTGGAGGCACCGGCACAGGATCTGGCCGCGCTCAGTCTTGACTCCGGCACATCAACACCCTCAGGCGATGCCAAGCTTGCCCCTCTCCAGGTATCCTCGCAAATGGCCGACGACTCGGACACCGACTCTGGCGTCTTCTCGAACCCCGTCGACGCATTCATCCACAGCGGTGCAAACATGTGCTTCGGCATGCTGCTCTTCATGCTCAGTATGGTCCCGCCTGCCTTCTCTCGCCTACTGTACGTTGTCGGCTTCCGGGGCGACCGCGAGCGCGGCGTGCGCATGCTCTGGAAGAGCACCCAGTTCGATAACCTAAACGGCGCCGTGTCCGGTCTGATCCTCCTGGGCTACTACAACGGGCTGCTGGGCCAGGCGGACATCACGCCCGCGGAACGGGACTTTGACGCAAACGCCGAGATGGTCGGGTACCCCGCGCAAAAGTGCGAGGCCCTCCTCGCCTCCATGCGGACGCGGTACCCCGACTCCCGCCTCTGGCGCGTGGAGGAAGCCCGCGTCCTGGCGCAGCAGCGCAACCTCGCCGACGCCATCAAACTTCTCACGACAGGCCAGGAGTCCAAGATGCGTCAGGTCACGGCCCTTAACGCCTTTGAGCTCGCTCTGGCGGCCATGTCACATCAGTACTGGGAGCTCATGCAGAAGACGTTCCTCCGCTGCCTCGAGCTCAACGACTGGAGCCACACGCTGTACTACTACATGGCTGGGTGCGCCGAGCTGGAACTGTACCGTGACGCCTTCCACGCCGAGAAGAAGGACGAGGACGAGATGCGCCGCCGCAAGAAGAAGGCCGAGGAGCTGTTCCGCAAGGCGCCGACGACGGCAGGACGGAAGAAGTTTATGGCGCGCCAGCTGCCTTTTGATACCTTCATCACGCGCAAGATTCAAAAGTGGGAGGAGCGCGCAAAGGAGTTCAAGGTCGATCTGGCGGATGCCGTCTGCGTCAGCCCCGCGCAGGAAATGGTCAGCTTGTGGAATGGTACAAAGAGGATGAACGACGAGGAGCTGCATATGTCAATCAAGAGCCTGGGGTGGGAGCGGTGTACTCTGCCGGCCGAGGCCCTGGAGAAGGTCAAGAAGACGCCCGACGAGGCTTCCATCCGGTCGATTTGCCTTGCGGCTATCTACAGGACCCTGGGACGCTTCGAGGACGCGAGGACAATTCTGCAGACGGAAGTACTCAACGCAGACAGGTACGTTGGATGGTCACCTTTGAGAAGGGATACTTGCAAGACTGATACTAACGACATGACAGAGCGGCATTCAAGGGCCCGACAAAGGACGAGTATCCCCTGCCGACAGCCCACTACGAGATGGCCGCCGTGGCCTGGTTCGAGTGCTGCCAACCCGAGAAGCGTCAGGCCGCGGTAGACGAGCCCACAGACGCCGAGGGTCAGGTCAAGGCGGTGGCTGACTACCGCAAGAAGAAGATGAACGAGTGCCAGGAGTGGCTCGACAAGGTCGTCGCGTGGGAGGCGTTTGTGTTTGATGCCAGGTTGGGCATGCGTGTGCAGGCGGCGCTGGAGACGCTCAAGTGGTTCAAGAAGAAGAACAACTGGGCATAGAAGGGTGGTAGGCAGCATTCTGATTCACTGGATTTGCTTTACACATATACAGGAGCCGGCCTTTGGGCGCATTGGATCAGGGACCTGGCGGACTGGAACACACGGTTTGGTGTAGACTTCGTCGGTATATATATAAGATACTTAGACGTGTTTGGCGATTTTGGGGGGGTATCCTCGAAACAGATAAGAAGCAAATGCATTTAACGCACAGCAAAGCCATTCAAACTCACAAGAAAAGAAATAAGAAACTAGTAAAATCCTCCTTAGTTGCTCTTCTTACCCTTGCGTCCGCGGCCCTTCTTCAACTCCTGGATGCCACCTTGCACGAATCCAACACCATTGTTGGCCGCCCTCTCACTTCGCTCTTTGATTCGGTGCTTCTCTGCCTCGGCTTTCATATCATCAATCACGTCCTGCCCCTCGCTCGTGCCATGAGCCCAGTCCAACACGCCCCAAGCACCAAAGTTTCCGTCCCCTTGCCCCGCATAGTGAATCGCTGTCCGACGCGTGATCCCGCCCATGACGATACCCGGAACGACGCTGTACCCAGACATAGCCATGGTCTCCTCGATGGTACAGAACCCAACGAACAGGAAGTAAGTCAACAGATGGGGACGAAGAACCACGGCCGGTACGAAGATGGGAACGATGCGGTGGAGCAGGAACGGGATCGGGTGGTCGGCGAAGAGCATCAGCGAGAACGGCGGCGCGGCGCGAGCATGGGCGTACGAAGCATGAAGCTTGCCTACACGCGTAGAAGTGAGGCGTCTGCCGCGGGAATGTAAGATGCGCGTGTGGATGTAGTATGTCAGAACCTCGCGCGCGACGATGAGGAAGGCGACGTGCTTCAGGAGCTGGAACGGCAGCGGCAGGGCCGAGGATGCGCGGAAGAGGGGCTCGTGGAAGTAGGATGCGTACGCCAGGCTTGTGGCCCCCTCGAGAGCGGCGGATAGGGCAAGGTTGAAGAGGGCGAGGGCGAGGGTCTTGAGGAGGGTTGGGCCATGGGTTGGCGGGAGGGCTGCGGCGCCGGCTGTCTTTATTGACTCGGAGAGGGAGGGGAGGAGGGTGTCGAAAAGGAGGAAGGCGAGGGAGGGGATGAGCCAGAGGATGAGGCGGATGGCAACGGCGCCGAGAAGCTGGATCTTGAGGGGACCGTGGGAGAGGATGAGGGTTGTCCAGGTCATGTAGAAGAAGAGGAGGTTGAGCGAGGTCGTCCAGGAGGTTATGGAGGGGGCTAGGAAGTAGGAGACTATTGGGAGGGAGAGTAGGATGTCCATGGCGTTGAGTGTGACGGATGAGGTGAGCTGTTGTTGTGAGATGAGATGAGTTTGGCTGTGGACAGGTGTAAGTGAAGTGAGAGCCGGATGAGTGAGTCCGACCGAGGGGAACGAACCCAACGTCTTTGATGAAGATGTCAGTCTCAAGATTGAGAACAACGATAGACTCTGCGACTCGGTAAAGAACTCATGACTCTGGTGATAGAGCTGCGCTGTTGGATGGGAGGGCGCGTCGTAAATAGCAGCAGCAGCATCATCCAGGCGCACGTTGGCAGCCATGACGTAGCGCCGCATGGGTGTGTCGGTTTTTGCGTCCCACCATGAACTAGCGCCAGAGCTGCATCAAACAGGGTATCTTGAGATGAGTGAGACCTGAGAGTGTTTCTCCGAACGTTGAAACCTAGGTTATCAATCAAACGTCAAGCACACCGTAGAGGAAGGAGGCTGTTTCCCTAAACGTCCATGGCCGGACTGCATTCCGACCTCATCGCGGACTGCTTGACCCCACTTTGCTCCGTCGTACCGGCCCGGAGCTGGTCTTGGAGAATCATGGCCCGAGAGGTTGCTTTAAGACGGTCCGTCTTGATCATACATATCGCAGGGTCGACGTTCTGCCTTCTTTTGCTCCTCGACCTGCACAAAACTTACCCTGACTATTCGGTCCACAAATTGGTCAGTGATAGACAATCTTCTAGAGTTCATTAGATTTCAGCTGTAATCGCTCTCTTAGGTCCCGCCCTCTCCAGTATTATCTCCAGTATTAGTCCTCGCTGTCTGCGGGGTTT